ACATAGATGCTCTAAGCTCCCAATGTTAGGTAGGGTCTAACTTAGTATACTTAAGATTACAGATGCCCAAAACCCAACTAATCAGCAAGATACAGTTATCATAATACAGTTATAATTTTCAAAATTCATCATTCATGAGAATTGAACCTTAGACCTGCTACTTAAGAGTTGACAACCTATCCATTTCACTAGATCACCACACTCTGCATTTTTTTATTATTATTAATATATGATTACATGTTTATATATAATGTATATCAATAGGAGTGTAGTGACCTAATGAAGTAGTTTAGGTTGTCAACTCTTCAAGTGGTAGGTTGAGTGTTCAAATCCCATCGACAGTGAAAATTTGAATAATCACCTATGTAATATTCATATTATGGCAACTGTTACTAATGATTGGGTTAGAATACCTATAATGGCATTCATACCAGCATAACTGGCAGGTTATGGGACATCTGTGTAAGTATGGCATTATACAGAGAAATGCAAACTGACAAATCAGATGGTGCAAACACTAGATAAGTCCTTGTGGCTGTATAAAACTGTTGAAATTAGATAACAAAAAGTCTATTTGAAAAGATCTGAGTAAAGAGGTAGCTGAATCTTTAACAGCCTTACTGTAAAGGCTAGCCTGGGGAAATGAATACCAAGGTCATAGTATCCAGTTGTAATAGCCAGACAGGCAAGAACCTTCAGGTTGGGAAGTTCTGAAGATATTACCAACCAGGCCACTAGAACAAACTGAAGGAAAAGAATATTAGGCTAACCTGATATACTGATGGACATGTTATAGTTCTATATAGGCTATCTAAATTGGGAGTTTGGTAAAAAGGCAAGTGAAAAGGCAGGGGTATACTAAAGTACCAGAGTTATGCTATGAAGTAGATACTAGGGTCTAAGTGAACTCTACAAGGGCATAGCAGTTTAATGGTCAGCCCTAACCACAAGTGTTGGTTCTGCTATAGCAATACCTAGGTCAATTGTAAAAATGAGTACAGAAGGCTTTGGGGGATTTACTTCAAGAATAAATTAGTCCTAAGATTGAGATGATGATCTGGGCATCTGAGTATAACCCAGTAAGTTAATACAGGTTATAGATTCAGAGGGTTTAAAGTAGAACATCCAAGCAGAGGTGTTAGATATGACAATTGGTAGAGAACTTTTGGGCAGACTTCTTAAATAGATAATATATATAGAAAAGTTACATGTATAGCCAATTGTACTCTTTTTTGTAGTAGTTCATTGAACCACAATATTGATAAGTGATTAATAAAAGTCAAAAGACCAAAGAGGTCATCTTAATACTAAAAAAAAAAAAAACAATATATATCAATGAAAGTACAACTAATTATATATATAATTTTAGTTATTATCTAATTAAGGATTCCATCCTACAAGATGCCATATCTAAAACCTGTCTGTGAGTCCTCTATTTAAACTTTCTAATTTTCAATACTTATTGCATATATCTGAAATATAGTACATTATTATTATTAAGACAAAACAGATTAGGGCTATCTAATTACTATTTATGTTTAAGTGTTACCTCATTGGATATTACTAAGTATAGGATGTGGCAACCTAGTAAAGTAGATAGGTTGTTAACTCCCAAGTGGCAGATCTAGAGTTCAAATCTCAGTGGTAATAAAAAATTTGTAATTCTCTCTATATTATAGTTAACTGTCTTCTGTGATTAGTTGGGATTAGATACCTATAACCTGTATTATACTAGCATGACTAAAAGGTCTAAACACTTATACAACATTGTATAAAGAAACACAAACCAGTATCAGATGGCATGAACCTAAAATAAGTTCTTAGGCTGTATAAATCACAGGAACCAGGTAGGAAGACAGAAGCCTACTTAAAAAACCTGATTAAAGAGGTAACCTAAACCTTCAACAGTGTTACTATAAAGACTAGACTTATAAAACAAAGCTAGAATTTGTAAAACCAGACAAATGTGTTAGTTTTTAGGAAAGGACTGAATGAACCAATCAGGCTGTTAGAATTTTCAGATTTTAAAAGAAAAGAGTATATGCCAACAAACATGTAAGTCAAAGGTATATAGTTTCAACCTATAGCAACAAGAATACCAACCTAAACCTAATATCGATTCTACATAATATCAACTAGTACTCAAAGAATTCTCCTCTATAGAAGTTCTTAAAATTATTAATTAACTTCCTAACAAAATTGCATATAGACTATTAGGCATCAGCTATAAAATGTTTAATTTTCATAATTCTGATTAGCATTATAATTCAGGCTTGAATTACTAATCAGAAATTATATCACCTGATTAATAGAATCTATTGTTCATAATTTTGGTCAAACTTGCAGATCATTTAATCATATTTAAAGTTGAATTGTTCTAGATCTACCTTTTTAGGCTATCTGAAATGACAGCTTGGTGAAACTTAAATTAAATACTAAAATAGTAAGAATATGTTGTAAAGTTAATACCAAGGTTAGAGTGAACTCTACAAAGGCATAGTGGTTTAATAGTACATTCTGACTGCCAATATTGGTCTCAGTCATAATGATATTGAGTCAGCTATAAAAATAAGATATAGAAAATTCTAGAAGATTTAGTACAAGGTCAAAGGTTCCAAAGAACTGCTTTAAAGACTTAGTAGTTATAATATATTTTTATTAGTATTGGTCAGAGTTGTTGGTAAGCAGAGGTAGGTGAATGGATATAGAAACTAGAGTAGTTAAATAAGAAACTTACAAGCAGGTTCCAGGTATAGCAGCTAGTATAAAACCTTTGAACAGACTACTTAAAATAAACAATGACTAAAGTTGTACAAGTAGCTAGTTGTATACTTTTTTTATGATTGCCTCTGTAGTTATAATACCACTATTAGCCAAATATACTATTAATAAAATCCTAATTCACAAGTACTCATCTTAATATTTAAAAAAAAAAGATATTACTAAGTATCTATAGTCTTTTCAAATTTATTCTTAATGCAAACTTACTAAGTATGATACTAAGATTACTTCTTAGATTTATTCAATTTTAGTAGATTTTATATCTATTAGAACTGGTTTGGTACTAAAAGTGTTTAAATTTTAGTAAGTCTATTTCTTTTCTATAGTTCTTTTTTATATTTACTATATTATCCACTAGTACACCTTCTCTCCATTTCTGGTATGTTTACTACTTTTCTTGCATCAATGCCAACTTTTTATATTGAAAAACTTCTTTCTAAAACTTCTTTATACATCGATTCTCTATTTATATAAACTTAGTTACAGGGCTTTATATACATTAATATGCTTTTGTAAATTACAAAGTTTTTGCCTCCAGCTGGAATTGAACTGTTAATCTTGTCTGTGAAGAGAGGAATGTTTAAACCACTAAACAATGTAACCTTATCCTATAATGCCAAACAATATGCTATCAACTTGTTTAAATTATAACTTAAAAAATCAATTATACATTTTAAGTATTGCTATTTTAATAAAATAACATTATTATATAATATACAGAAAAACTGCAAAAAAAAAATCTATTTAGACATAGTTAATTTTAAAAAGATACTAAATTATGCTTTACCAACATCTGTAATTTATAAACAAATACAAGTTGCAAATTTAGTATTAAAATACTTTTATATTCTTTTGCAAGACCTTTAATCAGTATTTGAAAAACATTAACAGAAGCTAACTTTAATGTTAAAGCATTAATAATTTACTTAACATATATTTGGCAAACTATAAACAACAATTTGTATATAATAGCAAAATGTTATATATAAAACTTTATTATTTTGTTTGGCTGTTTTATTTAGAGGGTGGAACTGATGACTAATTATTCAAGCATTGATTAAAATTTTCGAGCATCAAAATAAGCTTTCATTCATTGAGCTTTTAATTCAGTTATAATCGATTATCAGTGAAAGTCGAAATTTAACTATTTGTTTTGATAATGATAAGATAATAATGAGTTTTTGATTTATTATAAATATCAATTCTCATAAATATTTATTTAATAAATCGATCAAAATTTTCAAAATTGATATTGCCATAATTACATTCATAAATATTGATTTAATAAATTGTTTAAGTTGTTCAAATCGATATTGCCATAATTACAATAAAAAATGGAATTTGATTTAATATTGAATAAGAATACTGCATCTTGTGTTAGTGTTCTCGTGGAGTTCTCTAAAGAGTATGAATCAAATCATATTAATATTTCGGTTTGTAAAGAACCCAAATCCAATACAGAGGTAGCTGTTGCTGATGGTTCCAAAAAACAAAGATTAGGGATGCATGGTAGGTCTAGAAAATGATCTTAGGTGTGGCAACACTTTGATTCGATCGTAGTAATTGATAAAAATGGCAAAGAAATCCAATATGGTGTATGTCAAATTATAACAGATAGTAATATAAAATGTGCACAAAAAATCAAAGTTGCAAGTAGATCAACTTCAAACCTCATTCATCATCTTTTTTCAGTGCATGAAATTATAGTAATATTTTGCAGACTAATATTATTTAATATTATATATCATTATAGTTTTTAATTTATTTATCTTTATTAGGATAATCAAATCAATAACACCAAAACTCATCCAAAACCAAAGAATGATTTTTTTACTTGATCTCTATTGAAATTTATTATTTGTAAAAATATGTCGCTTAATCTTGTCTCAAAAGAATCATTTCAAGAATTTGTCCATAATTTAGATTTAGCATTCATGATGCTATGTGAAAAAACTGTAAAGTGGCTTATTCATATCACTTATAACTATTCAGCAAATATATTAAAACAACAATTAGATTTAACTAGCCAAACTGTATGCTTGACATTAGATTTATAAACAGCATAAAACTGGCAAGGCTTTTTAGGAATCACATGTTCATGAATTGATAAAAGTTTTAAAATACATGAAGTGCTTCTTACCTTGACTTATTTAAAATATCCTCATACAGCAATTAATATATATAATGCGATTAATCAGCAAATTGATTATTAGAGACTAATGGGAAAGATCTTTACAATTACATCAGATAATGGAGCGAATGTAAAAGCTGCTATAAATAAAATTGAAGGAGTTAGTAGAATGCCTTGTATGGCACACACACTTCAGCTCGTAGTTGGCAAAGGTCTTTTACCAGCTGAAGTATTTGTGGCTTGTGCAAAACGATTAATAAATTTTTTATAAGTCCCAAGCAAAATGAGAGGTTAGAAAATGTGCAGCAAAGTTTACAAATTTCAAAAGCAAATGTAAGAATAAAATATTTTTATTTTATTAATTTAATTTATAAAAACTTAGATTTTTTAATTTATTATTTT